TCGTGTTTTCGGTTTCAGAGCATTTTGTCTTGTATCAATATATCATAAATAATAGAAGAAAGAGTTCTTCAATTCAATATATAAATTGCTTCCTTTATTCAGTCATGCAGTTAAAATAAAGTATGTATATGAATTGTCTAGATGATTCATTTAATCGGTAAATGAATTTATCAAAAGGTTCCCTACGGAAGCAATATAATTTGGGCAACTATATTGCATAGTAGGCATACTAGATGCTTCCGAAAGATATCATGAGTTGATATAAGTATGGATGATGATGATATGTCACTGGGGCATTAGTATGGATTAGCGGTTGGTGAACTGTTTTTCGAACGTGACCGAATAACAACAAATCATTTTGAAAAGCATGTAGTCAATGATTTATCGTTTAGTTATATCAGTGCACGATGTAGTCCTTAGACCTGAGACATTGTGTTCGGATCTGATACAGATGCGTATGATTCATACGGTATATAAGTACGAGACTAGTCATGTTTCATATGATAAAGCCTATTTGGTCATGCATTGTTTATATGCAGAAATGAAGGATGGTCAAGAAGGGATCCATTGACTCGGAAATATAGGATCATGAGTACCGCTGACTCCATCCGGATTCGAGTTCCTGGACAAAAGTTGATAAATGTCGGAAATCAGAATCGCTGGCTAGAGTCTATTATTAGTCATACGAAAGCAAGTTCATGATGACAGGTTCCGGACATATTGATCGACAATTCGGTAGAAGATCGAGTTTAGGATTTTGATGTTCCATAAATCCGTACTCAATCAGGATATATCAATGGAGGGACTTTACCTGCATGGTACATATGATCTGAAAAGGGTTTGATAAAGTATTTCTTCATTGTGGTTTATGGACTATGGCACATTGCTAGATGTTTACCATAATCGTTGGGCTTTTGGACAGGTTTTTGGATTCATCCAGAACCGGCTCACGGCTAATCCACGGTGGACCTACATGGTCACACCAATAGCCTTGAGAAGTTAAAGAAGGATAGGAGAGAGAAATGATTATCCGAAGAGGGCTAGCACCTTCTGAGGGTAAAGACAGGATTTCTATGGCAATAGTTACATAAAAAATTATTTTTGATATTTTAAGAGTTAAAATGGTCAAGCAATAATCAATTGTATTTAATTATTATATCTTAAAGCGTTAAGATAAATGAGATGAACTAAAATAATATTTTAATAGTTAAAGGGCAAAGGGGTAAACTTATGGGTTGTTAATGTAAACTAGTTTAGGTTACATGGGCCTTGTATAATATTGATTATTCAAAAGGCAAATTAATAAATGCTTGGGTTCTTTTTAGAATAACATTTTATTGGGGGCATGAAAGTGAAAAATAACTAATTACAAAATAGCCAATGTATATATAAATGCAAATGGTTGAATTTTAGGTTAAGTGTTCATTTTGTTCACTCAAAAGAAAAACAAGCTCTCTCTCTTAGGTTCGGTCACTCTCTCATTATCTCAAGGTGGTGTTAAAGTGTGAAGGATTCATCCTTTTGAATCTTAGCTTCATCAAACCTAAGCACTAGGAGAAGGTATAATGTTTTTATACTTTATTTGCACTTTTTGAATCCTATTAATCCATATATTTACATGTATGTCTTGTTTACATGCTTCCAATCAACATTTTCTGCCACCTCTTCATGGTTTTTTTTTTTTTTCAAATGGTATCAGAGTTTAAAAGCTCCTTGCATATTGGTTTTGAGCAAACGCCATGTTATTCCATGTGTTCACATGTTCATCATATACGGTTGAGTTTGCATGTTAGTGCTTTGGTTCAAAAAGGAGTTTTCCATCCCAACTCTTTACATGCATGTCTCGGCCACACCTAGATCAAAGGTAAATGTTTGTTTTTCATGTCATTCTCATATGTTTTGAATGATAGTAATGTTGATAATAAGCATGCCTTTGTATTAAATGAGTTGTTAGTTGGAATAAACATGTTTGATGCATGTATATGATTTGGCCATCTCCTTACTTTGTGAAAATTTGTTTTTCATCTTGCTCTAATATGGTTAGATGTGTTGAAATTTGATATGATGTATGCTTGGATGATGGTTATTACATGAGATATATTGAGAACTACATGCATGTGTTCTATTATGGCATTCTTCTTTGTCATGTTCGGCCATGACTATTTTTGCCATAAAATTTGTCATCTCATTCATGCTTTGATGAATAATGTTTTGGAAAATGTTGCATAATGATTTATTTAAAGAAATAAACATGCATGTTCATTTTCATGACTTTGATTAAATTGTTTGTGCTTTGACATGTTAAAAGTGTTATCCTGTGTATTTTGTATGAAGAGTATGCAAATGTTGCAAGTGTTTAGTGGAGGAAAATAATGTTAGCATGAGGTTACGGATTATTAATTCATATGATGAATTATGATATTATGTATTCATGATGATGGTAATTTTAATATATGATATTTAATTTGATTAAATTATCATATAATGCATCATTGCATGATATAAATTATTATATTTTTGAAATGTAATAATTTGTTTTTGATTAGTTTCAAAAAATGATAATGCAAGATGATGTGATTGTCTTTGAGAAGATAAATGTGTCATAAAATTATTACTTTATTTAAAGTAACTTGTGTCATAGAATGATTATTCTTGAAGTAATAAAACTCATTTATTTATGTCATGCATGACTTTTTTGAAAAGTCTTGAAATATTGTTAATAATTAAATAACAAAATTATTATTATATCTTTGGGTGGAATATAACAAAAGTGTTGGTGTAATGATTTCACCATAACGTCCCTTGACAGTTTGATTAGCAATCAATTGGTGAAGGTGTTGAGGTAATAAACCAACTGTTAAGAAAAATGGTCTTAAGGTAACTGTAAATCTAGACATACTCTTTTATGATTTTATTTTTACCATTGTTCCAAGTTTTAAATTAAATGTAATACTACACACACAACCTTTTTATACAAATTTTCTATCACAAAATTATATGGCAAAAGGTGATTGGGTGAAAGTTTATTTTAAATTTAAAATCACTCAAACATCTTTTGTCATATAAGTTTGCAAGAGAAAGTTTGTGTTAAAAAAGTTATAATATATGTTGATTAGTTATTAACCATAAAAGTTTTTTTTCAGTTTTCTTTAATATATATTATTACTGTTAATTTCAATTGTTTTTTCGGCAAATATTTACTATTTTATTTCTAATTAGGAGAAAAAAAATTAATTTAAATGAAATTTGATCTCATAAAAATGTAAATTACACGCCTGTAAAAATTAAGAATGAAATTTTGTCAAGAAGCCTATTAACCTCTTTAAAATATCTAATTACAAAATTTAAATTATCTTTAATGGTACTTTACAAAATGTTTTGAGGAAATAGATATCAAAAAATTGAATTTTGTATTTTCAAAATTTGGGAACAGATTTGGTATCATTTATAAAAGCAGTATTCTGAAAATAAAATAAAAACAATGACAACACGTTTTCTACACTTTTTTTTTTAAAAAAAAAATTATATTTAATCTTCTTTTCATAATGATTTAATTCTTAAATTTACTTAAAAAAAGTTATAAAATATGGTAGAACAGAAAATAAAACAAAACATTTCACAATATTCAAAATTTTAAATTTTTGAAAGACAATCTCCTATTTATTGTGAAATTAATGGTTTTCTTGGCTATTAGCTCAGAATAATTCAATCATAAAATTAAAAGTAATGTTCTCTCCTACGTTTTTTTCATTGCTATTCTTATGCCAACGGTGGTCTTTTGATTTAGCTTTAGCTTTTTCTTTATTGGATTCTTCTTTGTTTATATTAAAAGGAAACAAAATCAAAACGCACTGTCCATATTACTTAAATGCTCTATTTTAAAACCCGGTCCAACCCGATTAGTTTAACCAATCTAATCGAGACCCGGGGCCTTCGCCAAGCTGGTCACCATTTCCACTGTTCACCAATTTCAATCTCAAACCCTAGAGAGGAGAGCGGCGGTCAACGAGCAGACGGTGGCGAGGATGTTGAAGGTTTTGGAGAGGAGTGCCGGCAAGTTGAAAGATGGCGACGAAGGTGGTTTTCGGTGAGTAAATCTATCGAAAAAAGGTAAAAGTTGCACAATTACAATAGCGGGCTATTGCCAATAATTGGTAGAGCGAACGAGGCTGTGAGATGGGTTTTTGTCAAGAGGCTGAGGAGAGTGTTTTCATGGTGATGAGGAATATTGTCGATGCAGGAAAAAGGCCCTACTTGGCCTGGGTTGTCAACGTTGATGGTGGTTTTTTTTGCCACAAAATGTTTCTATTTCGACCAGGTCTTGGACAAATTTGTTGAGGAATGGCTCAAAGGATGAGTGGGATTTGCATTTGTTGTGTCACCGCCACCAATCAGTTGACCACCGATTTGCATTTGGGGTATGTTTGCTGGATTTCAAACTTGTAGGGTGTAATTTTTCACTGATGTGTTTGCTGGATTTCAAAATTTTTGGACACACTAACGCCACCGGTTTGATCCGTCATTCAAACTAGTTCAATTGATCAACCTGAAACCTGATCACTTTGCTGGGTTTCACCCCAGATCGCTTATTAAAACACTGCTTATATGCAACTTTGTAAAATGGGTGCAAAGATGTTATAAGATAAAAATATGTATGGATATCACTTGACTATCAAATCTTTTGTAGTAAATAACGTTTTGATTAAAAATAAAGAATTATAAGCCTTAAATGAGATTAATGTTTGATTATTACCAAAGCAAAACATTGTGCTAATAGATGCTTTTCTTTTCCTATCATTACGCCAAGTATTTATTACCTTTACTTCTAGCATTGGATTTCCATCATGTAAGTCAAGTATCTTTTTCATATTTTAAGTTTGTGTGCTGATCAAGAATTAATGTTATTACTTTTGTCTATAAACAGCAGTAACATTGTCTTACAATTAATTTTTACAGCTACCTTTTGAAAAACCAATTTGTAATAGAGCAACCGAAAACAAATGGCAGAAGGCATTCTATTTAGCATTGCAGGGAAAATCTTGGAAGAGTTGGGGTCCTCGACTGTCCGAGAAGGAAAATTGGCGTGGGGTGTTAAAGGTGAGATTAAAAAACTTGAGAGCACTGTCAACACCATCAAACTTGTAATTCTCGATGCTGAAGAGCAGCACAGCAAAAACCGAGAGGTAACAGATTGGATCCAAAGGCTCAAAGATGCATTTTATGATGCAGATGACTTGTTTGATGATTTCTTCACTCAACTTCAATGGCGAGAGGTATTGAGTCGAAATAAATTGGCAAACAAGGTATGGATCTTTTTCTCCAAATCCAATCAAATTGCATATAATCTTAGAATGGCTCATAAGATTAAGACTATTAGGGAGAAACTAGATGAGATTAAAAATGATAGGCAGTTCCACCTTTCTAAGCGTCTTGTTGAAAAAGGAGTCATAAATATAGAAAGGGAAACACACTCTTTCATACGTGTAGAAACGGTAATCGGAAGAGATGATGATAAAAGTAATGTTATAAGACTTCTATTGGACTCAAATGATGATAATAATGTTTTAGTTGTTACCATAGTTGGACTCGGAGGAGTAGGAAAAACCACACTTGCTCAACTTGTATATAATGATGAGAATATCATAAACCATTTTGAGTTAAGGATATGGGTGTGTGTCTCTGATGATTTTACTATGAAGATAATTGTTGAAAAGATAATAAAATCTGCAACTCATAAAGAACTTGGAAATTTTCATTTGAACGAATTGCAAGAATTCCTTCGAAAAGAAATTGATGGGAAAAGATATCTACTAGTTTTGGATGATGTATGGAATGAGAATCATAATAAATGGAATGAATTGATGAATCTATTAATGAATGGTGCAAAAGGAAGTAAGATACTAGTTACTACATGTAGTGAAGTAGTTGCTAAGGTTACTAGCAAACTTGAATCTTATGTCTATCCCTTGAGAGGACTAGATGAAAAAAAGTCTTGGTCTTTGTTTACCCAAAAAGCTTTTGAACCTGGGAAGGAACCAAAAGATTCGAAATTAATAGAGTTTGGAAAAGAGATTGTGGCAAAGTGCGGTGGCGTTCCTCTTGTCCTAATGACAATAGGACAATTACTTAATGGTAATAGTAGGGAAGATGATTGGTTGAATTTTAAGGACAAAGAAATGTCAAAAGTGATTAAAGAAGAAAGTGATATTTTACCATTACTCAAGCTCAGCTATGATCATCTCCCTTCAAACTTGAAACAATGCTTTGCTTATTGTGCATTGTTTCCTAAGGATTATAAGATTAAGAAGCAAAAATTAATTCATCTTTGGATGGCGCAAGGGTTTCTTCAGACATCAAACAATGAATGTCCAGAAGATGTTGGTAATAAGTATTTTATGGCTTTACTTTGGAAATCATTTTTCCAAGATCCACAATATGGTAGATGGGGCAATGTAACTGCATGTAAGATGCATGATCTTATGCATGACCTTGCACAATCAGTTGTAGGAACTGAATGCATCATGCAAACTTTTGATAAGGTTAAACGTGTGGATGTAAGATGTCGTCATTTATCACTTGACTGTGGTGAAGTAAAACGATCATAGACATTTCCAGTTGTATTATATAGTGCCAAAAATATAAGGACTTTACTTTTATTTTATCGATTAAACTGGGGTTTCAACTTAAGTGGTGGTGATGAAATTTTAACAAGTTATAAGTACTTACGAGCATTGGATTTTGGAGAGCTAAGGTTTCAGAAATTGTTGAGTTCAAATGGTGAGCTTCTGAGTTTAATTGGTGAATTGAAGCATTTGCGGTATCTCAATTTTTCTTGTGTGGATATTAAAACACTCTCTAATTCACTCTCTAATTCTCTGAGTTTAATTGTGATGAAATTTTAACAAGTTATAAGTACTTACGAGCATTGGATTTTGGAGAGCTAAGGTTTCAGAAATTGTTGAGTTCAAATGGTGAGCTTTTGAGTTTAATTGGTGAATTGAAGCATTTGCGGTATCTCAATTTTTCTTGTGTGGATATTAAAACACTCTCTAATTCACTGTTGAGACTATTAAATTTGGAAACATTAGATCTCTCTTTCTGTAACGAACTTGAGGAACTGCCAAGAGATATTAAAAAAATGGTGAACCTTAGACATCTTATAAATAAAAAATGTGATTCTTTAGTTGGAATTCCATATGGACTAGGGCATTTGACTAATCTTCAGACTTTACCTCTATTTGCAGTAAGTCAGGGAACTATGCAAGCCAACAGAAAAGGCAAACACAGTGGGACAAAGGAATTAAATGGGTTGAAGAACTTGAGAGGAAAACTCAAAATTAAGAATTTAAAATTTGAGGAAAGTAGCAAGTTGGCCAACTTAGAAGGGAAGCAATTTCTTCGGTCTCTAACGTTGGATTGGGGGAGAAGTGATGATGGAAAGGTTCAAGGAATTGATGAAGTGGGGAGAAATGATGATGGAAAGGTTCAAGGAACTGATGAAGTGGTGCTAGAAGGTCTAAAGCCACACCCAAATCTTAAGGAAATTAGTGTAAGATCATTTATGGGTGTTAAATTGTGTGAATGGCTTTCCTCCCTCACAAATTTAACTTCAATTACTATAAAAAAATGTAGAAGATGCCAACATATCCCACCATTGGATAAATTTCCTTATCTGAAGAGTTTGTTTCTTAGTCATCTAGATGATTTGGAGTACATTTCAGAGGAAGCAAGTAATAGTTCTTCCACATTATCAACAACATTCTTCCCATCCCTTGAGCAAATCACCCTTTATGATTGTCCTAAATTAAAGGGATGGTGGAGGAAACATGATTATGAAGATACAGAGCTGCCTTCATTTCCTTGTCTTTCCAAATTAGATATCCAAAATTGCCCCAATTTGATGTTCATGCCGCTATTTCCATCTCTGGAAGAATTAAAATTGCAAAAGACCAGCTCGAAACCTCTAGAGCAGACGATGACGATGACGTTGATGAACAAAGAGGAACCATCAACTTCCTCTTGCTTTTCTGCCCCTCTCTCCAATTTAAAGTCAATGCATATGATTAAAATTCTTGATCTAGAATCTCTTCTAATGGGTGGGATGCAAAAGCTGACTTCTCTAGTGGATTTGAAAATTTTGTCATGTCCAAAAATTACTCAAGTGGATCAAGCATTAAAGCTTCTACCCTCTCTCCAACGTTGGACAATTAGTTCCCATGAGGAACGTGAGCTAGAATGGGAAGGTATTCGTGGTATGGCTCTTCGTCGCATACCTGAATTCGTTTGAATTCAGAGGAGAGTTCTTCATAAACAGGTTAATAGTTCTCTTCAAATTTATCAATCGACCTTTCTTATTTTGTTTAACTTATTTCTTATTTCTGTTTTGAGTAAATAATTGTTACTAATTAATTCTTTTCTTTCAAATGTCTTCTGTTTCAGTAAATAATTATCAACTATCTAGGTAATATTTCTTATTCTTCCGTTTACTAAGATGAAGAAATGTATATATGTTAATTATAATGTTTTGTGGTTATCATTTAGATGAAGTAAAGAGTTGTGTACCTTGCAATAGCCAGAGCATTGAATGGAAGGTGGATTTTAAATTAGCCACTACCTGTTTCATGATTTTAACTCTGTAATTACATATACGTAATTGATTCAAATGAATTTTAGTTTGTTCAGATTCTCTGACTTGGCATATGAAATCTCAAGGAATGAATGATTTGAAATTAAGCTGCTTTTGTTTTCATGGTAAAGGTTTGATATAGTACTCTCAAAACCTCTCTCCCTTTATATTTTTGTATTTTCTTGTGGGTTAATAGCTGAAATTCTCTTTCGGTATCTCTAATGTATAGTTAACTCCTTGAAATATACCTAATATACAATAACTTCTTTAAGGTATACCTAGCTAATAGTTAGTGATTGTTAACAGAATTTACCCTTGACAATAGTGAGATTAGACACATTAACGAAATCCTTAACGGCAAAGGGTTTAAGAGCGATTAGATATACCTTAGAGGGTGTTTTGTCCAATGGGGAATACCTCAGGGGGTTTAAAGTAATGTCCTTTTTCTCTTTTCTCTTTTCATTTTATCATCTTTTTTTTTCTTTTTGGATATCTTCTTGCCAGCATATATGCTAGCTGTTAATGCTTCTGAAGATGAAACCACCGCTACTTAAGCATTTTATAAATTGTAAGTATCAAGCTATAATGATGTTCTTTAATTGTGCTTTCTATTAAATTCTCATTCTCGCTACTAATATCTGATATCAAAATTAACATACAGTTGGTGGAAATTGATAGTAGGCTTTACTCCTTGAAGCCCTGCCCTTCATAAGTTGGACCTATAAGAGCAGCAATTGAAGTCTCCGATTGATGATTTGAGCTTTGGAATGTATCACTTATGCTATTTTGGTATGTTATTTTAATATTGTATATTGTTGAGCAATTATTTTATCTTGTACGCCACCCCAATCTTCTTAAAATTCAAATATACACTGCCACTGTTAGTAATGCACTAAAAGATAAAAAAGAAAAAATTACATTTATGATACAAGAAATTTGACTTCAATTTTGTCTATTACATAGGATATTACTGCCATCAATAATACTAATACATGTCCAGATTATAAAATAAGGACTTCCGCAGCTAAATCATTTTAATATATATATCTGCGTGTACATAAAATTTTATAATTTTAGTTGATATGTGTGAATGTAAAATGCAGGTGATCAAAAACTACATCGCTATAAATACGAGGGATAAACTCCAAGAAGCTCGATCAAACTCTTTAATTGAGATTTTCTCATTACCTTCCACCAGTTGAGGTTGCCTTTGGACTATCAACATTGCTTCACATTGCTGTTTATAGTTATACTCACTTTAATTGAGTAATTCTGTTGATTTATCATTTTATCTATCACTTCTTTTAGCATGAAGAAGGAATAGGTTGGTTTTCATGAATAACAAAAAGGTATGTTACTAGAAGGGTTTGTTCATTTATAAAATCCTTATGTATTTTGTGAAAAATATAGAAAATGTTTAAACAGTGTTTGTTTAAATTATGTGTATTCAGAAAATAAACACGTGTTCAATATATTTGTTTGAAAATAATATTTAAAAAAAAAAAAGAACGCGTTTAATATGTTTGTTAAAAAACTTAGTATTTTAAAATAGAGTTAATTTAGGCAAATATAGGAACTGATTAGATGCCAGTATCGGTATCTTAACATATTCAAAATATCCTTTAATTGAATGTTATTTTGCTTGAATTGAAGAGTTTAAATAATTAAAAGTGGTAATCAAATTGATTTTATGACTTCTCAAGAAAATGATTAAGGAGGGTTAAAAGTTGTAGAGAAAGCATTTGTAAGAAATAATAATTTTTATTTGTTTTGCTTGGTTTTTGTCTATGTACATATTTTTTGTCAACTTATGAATTCTATGTAACTACGTTAAGTTCCTGATGTCAAGACCTCATATTGTTTATGTACAACTCTTTTTGTAGCCTTTTGCGGTCATGATACTCGAAGTTAGTGTCAAGACATTCTTTCAATCATATTTCTTTTTGTACAAGTAGCATTTTTGTTGGAACGTGGATTTCTTTGATGATGTTTGATGGGATTTCGAGCTGTTGGAGCTGAAGTGTGTTTTTGGTGTTGAACCTTGAGTGGAGCTCAAGGTTGTCTAGGTGGGTTCCTTATGAGAAGCTAGTTGTGGTAGAATGAAGTTCAACTAAATGGTGAAGTTTGAAGTGTTATCATAACAATGAATGTTTTACAACTGATGTTTAACTTTGCTTTGTAATTGAACTATATATGTTTATCATAATGGATTAGTTTCATCTGGACGAGGTCCTATGGATGTAGGCAGTTGGCCGAATCATGTAAAAATGATTTATGCGCTTTACATTATGTCACGGATGTTTAGTTTATGTTGATGATGAATTAACAGACCTATAAGCACAAAATGAACATGTTGAACCCATTCCGCATAAGTTTAATGAACTTAGTAAAGTCATCAAACTTCCTGTCTAACTTTACAAGTAAAAGGCAAAAGCTAAGTTTAACAATTTTTTTTTTTTTTTTTTTTTTTTTTTTGGTGAAAACGTAATACATAAATGCTAACCCAGCATCTTCTTCATGCTTCCGCAGATTGAAAAAAGAAAAACGTGATAATGAAAAAGTTGTTGAATGGCCCAAGATGATTTGGATATTATTTAAATAAAGATTAAAGTAATAATGGGAAATAATTTTTACCCCCTCTATTATTAATGAGTTCATACAAGTATTTGTATCGTCTTTTTAAATTCTAAAAATTAAAAACTAAAATTATATCATCCTACACAAAACCAAATCATCAAGAGTGTTTTATTCAAAACATACAAAAATATAGAATAGAGACATAATAATTACATAAGAGTTGGAAACTTGATTGTATTTGAGCAATAATAAATATGATATGCTCTATTAAAAAATCAATTAAAAAAATCTATTGAATATGTGTCTCAAGATGCTGCAGAAGTGTTGCTGACTTGGAAGTGCTGATTAGGTTGATGAGGTGGCCGCTGGAGAATAGGTGTTTCAGTTGCTGTTGAGTAAGTC